TGCAGGAGGCCTGGGCTCCTCCCAGCACCGCAAGGGAAAAAGGGAAGAAATGCAGGCTGCATCCCGGCCCCACATCGGGCAGTGACACTCACTGAAGGAAGCACAAGGAGAAGACCCTAGCGTTTCCCATAGCTGCGGATCATGAATTACCGATTTGATCAAACTGTGTAGTGTTCTTACCTGGTCCTGTAGCACAGGCCTGTGATTCAGTCACTCTGGGAGGCAGGAGGATCACAAGTTGGAGTCCAGCCTGGGCAATTTAGCAACTTAGTTTGACTCTGTCAAAATACAAGAAGAGCTGGGGATGTAGCTTAGTGCAAAGGCCCTGGGTTCAATCCTCCAGTTACACAAACACATTTATGATATATAGAATACGTAATAGACCTCACATGGTCAATTCCTTGTCATAATCACAATTATATTGGAGACCAAAAATAATAGTTAGAAACTTAATCACAAGAGAATCAAATTTTAAGTTGGTAGCCAGGTGTGAAACCCAGAGACAGGGAAAAACATTTCAGAATACAGAATGTCATTAAGTGAGGATGACTGTCATATTTGCAATGGATAAAAATACAAGGGGTTAAAATCATTAAAATGTTAAAATACTTCAACAAATTCAGAAGAAAAATAAAGCTGCTGACAGAAAAATTGTCAAGGGCACGAGAAAGAGTCCTGTCCCAAAGAAATGCAGATTTTAATGTAACATACATAAAAAGACACACAGCTCTACTAAGAGAATCTTAGAAAGCATTTTTAAGTGGCTTTATATATATTTAAAAAAGCAAGCTACTACATCAAGAAGAGAAATGATTGTTTTTCTCACCTGGTAAAACAGGTACCTTATTACTAAACAAATGTCAGAAATAGTTTCTCCCAAAAAACAGGCAGAAGCCCCAGAAGAGCAAATTTTCTTAGAGAAAAAGGCAGTCAGCAAGATTTTGGGTGGAATTTATAGGAATTAGGCTATGGATTGGGTAATGAAAGGAACCTGGATTCTCACAAGGGGGATTTTTCACACATCAGATTAGGTATTGCCTTAATTCGCCCACTGTAAATATCTCAATTTATGTATCACCTTTGAAAACACTGTAAAAAGGAGAGATTGGGGATATATGCACACAGCTGCTGACTTGAGGGTCTTATTTTTAGAAATAATGAATAAACAGGAAACAAGATCTGGTGCTTGCTGATTGGCGTTTGCGAGGGGCCTCACCTGCTGGGCACTGGTGCAGATGTTCCTACTGAGTGGCGGTTGCTCCCTTTACCCCACGCCCTTTAGCCCAGCATTTCCCCATCCTCCCTGAGCACAGGAACCAGCTGGGCCCTGGCTAAACTTCTGCACAGATTCCCAGGTCCCCGTGTCTAAGCCCAGCTGAGCGGTCTGCGCTGGGACCTGGGGGTGCAACGCTCAGGGCCATCGCCTGCCCCAGCAGGGATTCTGTTCGCTCTCTGTGCTCCTCGGGAAATCGCTTAAGGGGGCGCATGGAGGAGGACTGGCATTTGTTCACTGCCAAATTCATTAAAGGAATCTTAGAAAACATGGACTAGAAGAAAAAAATACTTCTGCATAGAATGATATTATAATAAAATATATGAAAATATATGAAAACATTAACTGTGCAGCCAGGCATAGTCATGTACTCCTGTAATCCCCGCATTCTGGGAGGCTGAGGCAGGAGGATTGCAAGTGCGACCCAGCCTGGGCAGCTTAGCAAGACTCTGTCTGAAAATAAAAACTGAAAAAACCCCTGGGGATGTCATTCATTGTGACACTACTGGGTTCAAACCCCAGTGCCTCAGAAGTAGTGAATACAATAAAATACTGCTGGGGCTTATGCTTGGCAGTGAGGACTATAGGTATTATTATTTGATCATGTTTTAGACGAAGTAGAGCAGATTATATTCAAAATGTTTAGTAGCAGAGCCAGGCACAGCAGCTCACAGCTGTGGTCCCAGCTCTTCAGGAAGCTGAGCTGGGAGGATCACTTGAGCCAGGAGGTTGAGACCAGCCTGGGCTATATGCTGGGATTCCTATCTCCCCACAGACAGCAAAAAGGAAAGAGACAATCACTAGGAATGCAGATCAATGGTAGAATGTTTCTCTAGGCTGTGTGAACACTGGGTTCAATTGCCAGCATCATAGAAAAGAGGCATGATTCATTAGTGTAGACCAGGCTGACCTCAAACTGGAGGTGATCCTCCTGCCTCAGCCTCCAGAGTGCTGGGGTTCCAGGCGTGTGCCAATGCCCCTGGCCGTGGCAGGCATATTTAGAACATGGCAGTGTTTCTGTGTGACATGAGGATGAACTAGAAGCAATGCAGAGATGTTCTGTGAGAGATTTCTGGGAACATTCAAGATGTCTTATTTTTATATAATTATGATGGAAAACAATATATGACATGTGATGAGCTGGGTGTGGTGTTCCTGCCTGTGATCTCAGCACTCTGGACTCGGACACAATAGGATCGCCTCAAGCTAAAGTATCGCCTAGACTAGACAGTGAAACCCTATGTGATAAAAGCTAAAATGAAACTACAAATATATGTGTATGGTATTGGGAAACCTTAGTCAATTCGTATATAATTCCAGATGCAATGGTTTGCCATCAGCCCGGGCCAGTGATCCTGAGGACCAGCCCTGGAGGAGAAGGCGAGGCTTCAAGGAGCCCGGCTGAGGGCGCCTCCCCCGGAGGGGGGCGTGGTGAGGACAGGACAGACCTGTAGAGCCCGAGGGTGACTCCTGCTGCTGCTATGCAATGCAGGTGACACCATCTTCCTTCCTCCACTCTGTCTCTTCTCCGCCCACACCTGAGTCCCTACCACAGGGCTAGTGACAGGAGGAGGGCGACCAGGTTTCCCTGTGGATTTGCCTGCCTGGTCCCAAATGGCCAACACGGGCTGGCCAGGGCCTGAGTGAATCCCACCAGCATTTCTGTGACCTCCTTCCCATCGTGTCAGCTTCCCTGCCACAGAACTCAGAAATCCCACACATGTCCTGGTGTGACTTAGGATCCATGGATCACCTACAATCTCCTCAAATTCCCATTAGCAACGTGTGGTCTACATAGCATATGTGCAGCACCTATAACCCCACTGACCCTGCAATTCAGACATTTATGTACCCTACATGGAAAATATCATATGTTGGAAAGACTGAGAAAATCTCCAGTGCAAGATACAATATGATCATGTGAAGTGGTGCACATGGGTAATCCCAATACTTCTGGTGGCTGAGGCAGAAGGATCTCAAATTGGTAGCAATATAGAAACTTTGCTGGTCCTTGTCTCAAAATAAAAAATAATAGGTTCATTAGGCTATCATTTCATATCTCAGCCAAAAATCAACCATTTCAATACACAGTACTGTAAAGAAAAAATTAAAAATAAACAAGCCGAGGGCAGAGTGGCCCATGCCTGTAATCCCAGCTACTTGAGAGACCGAGGCTGAAGAGTTGCAAATTTTTGTCCAGCCTTGGCTACATAGGAGAACTTGTCTCAAAAATAAAAAACAAAGAGTTGCAGTTGCAGCTCTGGGGCCAGGATTTAGCTCAGCCGTGCTACTGCCTGCTTTCCAAGCGCAAGGTCCCAAGTTCGATGCCCAGTACCAAAAAAAAAAGGAAGTCAGGATTCCTACTGATTTCAAAGCAGATGCAGCTCGGCTTTCCCTGTGTTCAAGTCCCAGGAACTATCAGACAAAAAAAAAAGAAAACAAACTTTCAAAAGGCAAATTTTATTTGTACTTAAAAATAATATTTAAAAGACTTCAACATGCCAGCAGGGTTCCAAGATCACAGTTCACTACAGACACATGGAGGTCCAGCTATCTCTGAAAATTCCTGTCCAGGACTGTCAGGGATGCAGGATCTGAAATTCTGGGTCCACGCCTCTCAGCTTCAACTCAGCCGTGGCCCAAGCCATCAGAGTCATTTGGAAGACTGAATACAGGCCAGCAACTATCAGCGTTACTCCAGCAGCCGTGCCCACGGGGTGAGGGTGGCCCTTTAAAGTGAAAACAATTCCTAAAATCACAGCCACAGATACCATGCAGAAAAGGAGGAAGCATTCAGTTTTTAGACGTCTCCCACATTCTCCTTAGCAGACTGATCCTTGGATTCTCACTCTGCAAACATTCGTAGATGGTGTAGTTTTGCTGCAGAGGTTAAGGGATGAAGAAGGAAAAAAAAAAAGATGACAGATCAGAAACACCAAAAGGTTAAGCAGAAGGCTTTCACCTGGCTGAGAATTGCACCTACTGTGAGTTTGCAATCAGAGCTTCACCCTCTCCACTATCCTGAGGGTGCAGTTCAAAGGGCTGGCTTTTTAGGAGACACTATTGTTCCTTTCCTAGGAGACTCAGAAGTCCGGAACTGGTCACTGTACCCCAACCACCCAAACTGGGGACTGGACCAAGGGCCCTCTACCCCAGAGCTGCATCTCCAGCCCTTTTTTATTTTGTGAAGGTCCTCCCTAAGTTGCCTAGGCTGTCCTTAAATTCAGGATCCTCCTGCCTCAGCCTCCCCAGTAGCTGGGATTACAGGCATGTCCCATCATGCCTGGTGGCATTGTAGTTAATGATTTAAAATACATCTTTACAGGCCTGGGGATGCAGCTGAATGGAAGACCACTTATCCTGGTGATAGGTCTCCCACCACCTCAGCAGCTATTATGTATAGTAGCTGCCCTCTTCCTATGGTGCCTTGCCCCCTCCCCTGTGTGACGTCATGCCAAGATGGTTGCTCCCACCAAAGAATAAACCCTTCTTCCCAGCATGCCCCTGTTCCCGCCTAGAAAGTAACCTAATACTCGCTCACCTCCTACCACCTAGTGACATCACCGGCTCCTCCATTCCCTAGTCACTACCTCACTCAACCCCACCTCAGCCCCTACAAACCCCACCCCAGTCTCTATAAAAGACTCTCCCTGCCCCGGCCATATTGCTTTTGTCTCTCCTTTGTTCAGAGACAGCCCGGCACATCTATTCCCCTAATAAAGGCTTGCTGTGGCCTGGTCTGGTCTTGGTCTTTGGCCCTTTTACCTGACACCACACCCATAAAAAAATCTGTACAAAATTCTAGGAAGCTGTCCCAAGACCTCCAGAAGAAATATTTCAAAAAACAGAGTACTAGGTTCATGGCACTTAAAGAAGTAGGGTAATCCCAGGTGTCTGAGAGGTTGAGCAGGAGAATCTCAAGTTCAAGGCCAGCCTGGGTAACTTAGATAACTTTTCTCAAAAAAAAAAAAAAATGCAATAAAATAGTTCTGGTGGCTCAATGGGAAGACTGGCTTCAACCCCTCAAGTACTGAAAAAGAAGTAGGCTCTGCTGCCTCCTGAAGCATCATCATTTCTTGATCATCAAGTTTTATACTTTAGACACAAGTCATGAAATTCACAGTCAAAGATTAAAAACATGACTTAGAAGGAGAAGTCTGGCCAGCAGCCCAAGGGAAATGTTTGCCCTGTCTTCTGCCAGCAAGAGGATCTGGTGCAAAGTTTGAAGAAGCAAAGCCCATGGTGGGGAGGGGTTGCCAGACAGATACACACTGCCCGGAGGCTCTTGCTGGAGATCCCATTTTTAGAAAGCAATAGATGTAAACTGCACACCTAAATGGACAACCAAACTAATGAAATCTTGGTTTGTGCCTGGCACCCCAGTGCAAGTCTGTAATCTCTGCACTTGGTAGGAGGATCACATTAAGTTCAAGGCCAGCCTTGATTACCTAGTGGGTTTTGCTACATAGCAACATCCTGATTCAATAAAAGACAACAACACTCCCCCTACCTGAAAGAAAACCTTGGTTGTATTTTAACAGAGAAGCGGGATTCTTGATCGGGATATTTTTTCTTTTCCTTTCATTTTCTTTCAGTTTTTTGGTATTGGAGATTAAACCCAGGACCTTCACACATTCAGCTACATCCCAATATCTTTTTATTTTTTATTTTAATACAAGGTCTCACTAAGTTTACTAGGCTGGGGAAGCACTTAAACTCAAATACTCAAACTTAGGCTGGGGATGTAGTTCAGTGGTGTTGCATCTGCCTGGCAAGTAGAAGGTCCTGAGTTCAATCCTCTGCACTGAACAACAACAACAAAAATACTCAGAATTGCCATTTTCCTGTCTCAGTCTCCCAGAAGGCTAGCAAGTCTTCTGACATCACACACAGTCTGGGTGAGATTGTTTTACATTTTATTACATTTATTTTTTATTTTTTGCAGTACTTGGGATTGAACCCAGGCCTTCTCTTTGAACTACATCTCCACCCCTTTTTATTTTTTATTTTGAAGCAGGTCTTTCCCAGTTGCCTAGCTGGCATGAGCTTCTGATTCTCCTACCTCAGCTTCCTGAGTAGCTGACTTTGCAAGTGTGGGCCACCATCCTTGCATAGTTTAGTGTTTTTGCAACACATGGGCACCCACGTGAAAAGACTGAGCCTCTGCTGATGGGTGAAATGACCACCTTACAAATTTGCCATTTTACTTAAGTCAAACAGAAAAATCCCTTTACTGAGTGACAGCAGAGCACAGCTTACTCTTTAATTACCACTGTTCATCACTTCAGGAAGGAGAAAAAGCCTTCCTCTCCCAAAGTCATCAGATCTTGGGTCTTCCCAGTATTTGTTCATTGCCTGAAATATGGATCTATATTGTTTGCCAAAAGAATTACCAAACATCCTGACATCCAAACTGAATGATTTATTGGCCTTAATTTGAAAAATGATTATCATATTAATTTTCCTCTGTTTCTTTGAAGTCAGCATCTCACCAAGTACCTAAATTTCCCAGATGGGCTCCAAATTGTGGTCCTCCTGCCTCAGCCTCCCAAAGGGCTGGATTGCAGGCATGGACCACCATGTCTACTCCCAAATGCTGTTGGTATTTAGGACGGGTCTTGGTGTTCCTTTGCAATTTTTTTATATGTTTCATTTTGAGACAGGGTCTCACTAAATCACTAAGCTGCCCAAACTGTGCAGAACTCGTCATCCTCCTGCCTCCGCATCCCAGAATGCTGCGTTACAGGCAGGGGACACCACACTGGGCTTCCGTTTCCCTAAGAACCTAGACCCGCTTAGGGTGCCTGTCCCTGTCCTGTGCCTCTTGCACTTGTCTCACACGTGGGTGTCGCTGTCCTGTAGAAGAGGGCTCGGGGGCAGGTTCTGAAACTCAGTCGGTGACGGTCCCCTCCCCAGTCATTTGGGGGCTCCCTGCTATTTTCACACACAGGTTGTGCATCTCGGATTCCAAAATCTTATTGGTGCTCAAAAGATTTCACATTTGAATCATGTCAGATGTGTGAGCTTCAGATTAGGGACGCTCACCTGGTGAATCACACACAAATGTTCCCAAAGGTGAAAGCCTCCCAGTCTGAAATCGGCTGTGTCCCGGGCCTTCAGATCCAGGCTGCCCAGCCTCCACCTCCTCTTCCAGGACACGGATTGACTGTGCACCCTGCTGTCCCCCAGCACCCCTATTTGACTTGGGGTTTCTGTTGGATCTGAAGCAGAACCACTGGCTCGGGGGGTTTCTGTTGGATCTGAAGCAGAACCACTGGCTCGGGGTGGGGGTGACATCTTCACCCCCAGTCCACAGGCTCCTTGGGACTCCCTGGGGCTGTCACAGCGTCCTGCTGGGCAGTGCCTCTGGCTCTGCCTTCTCTGCTTCCCCAGCCCCAGTGCAAGAGCTCAGGCCTTTTCCAGCTCTGCAGAAATAACACAGACACACAGCACTGTGACATCCGCCTGTGTCTGTGACCAGGACCAGGCCACGCTGTGCTCAGCCTCCTCCCTCTTCTGTCTACAGACCAGAGGGCCCTGTGTTTCCATCTGTGACAAAGATGCACAGGAGCCCATGGAGGCTGTGGGCCGAGGCTGGGGCTCAGGGCAGGGGCTTCGCTGGTGTGCAGGAGGCCTGGGCTCCTCCCAGCACCGCAAGGGAAAAAGGGAAGAAATGCAGGCTGCATCCCGGCCCCACATCGGGCAGTGACACTCACTGAAGGAAGCACAAGGAGAAGACCCTAGCGTTTCCCATAGCTGCGGATCATGAAATACCGATTTGATCAAACTGTGTAGTGTTCTTACCTGGTCCTGTAGCACAGGCCTGTGATTCAGTCACTCTGGGAGGCAGGAGGATCACAAGTTGGAGTCTAGCCTGGGCAATTTAGCAACTTAGTGAGACTATCTCAAAATGAAAAGGAACTGCTGGAAATTAAATGCCTTGGTTTCCATCTCCCATTATACACACACAATATATATATACATAGATATATTCACTTCACATACTATATATTACACTATATGTGATATAAATGTATAAAATAATCTATGTGATCATTTAGATGCCAACAATTACATTTTTTGTTTTTTAGTTGGTAGCAGGGATCGAACTCAGGACCTTGTGCTTTCAAGGCAGGTGGCAGTACCACTGAGCTAAATCCCTGGTATAATTACATTATCTTATAGACCAGAATTAAAGCTTACAAGCTTAGTCAGAAGAGAATTTTTAAATTGGTAGCCAGCTGTGAAACGCCAAATCATAAAGGAAAAAAGTATTTTAGAATACAAGATATCATTAAATTAGGACAACTATCATATTTTTAATGGATAAAAATACAAGATGCCTAAAATACAAAAAACCTCTACAAATTCAGAAGAAAAGTCCAACAGCCTATAGAAAAATAGTCAAGGGCTACAAGGAAAAGTTCTGTCCCTAAAGAAATGCAGATTATAACATAATATACTCAAAAAAAATATACATCTCTCCTAAGAGCATCTCAGAAAGCATTTTTAAGTGACTTTAGAAAAAAAAATAGTAAGCTACTACATGAAAAAGAGAAATGGTTGTTTTTCTACCTGGTAAAACAGGTAGCTTTTTAGTAAACAAACGTCACAATAAATAGTTTCCCCTGAAAAAACAGAGAGAACCCCTGCAAGACGAAATGTCCTCAGAGAAAACAGCAGACAGCAGGCTTCTGGGTGGAATTTATAGGAATTAGGCTGTTGATCAAGTAATGAATTGAACCTGGATTCTCACAACAGGCATTTTCACACATCAGGTTAGGTTTTTCCTTTATTCACCCAATGTAAATGCCCCAATTCGTGTATAGACATTAAAAACACTGTAATAAGGAGAGATTGGGGATATATGCTCACACTGCTGACTTGAGGGTCCTATATTTTTATAAATGAAATAAGCAGGAAATGAGAGATCTGGTGCTTGCTGATTGGCATTTGCGAGGGGCCTCACCTGCTGGGCACTGGTGCAGATGTTCCTACTGAGTCGCTCCCTTTAGCCCACGCCCTTTAGCCCAGCGTTTCCCCACCCTCCCTGAGCACAGGAACCAGCTGGGCCCTGGCTAAACTTCTGCACAGATTCCCAGGTCCCCGTGTCTAAGCCCAGCTGAGCGGTCTGCGCTGGGACCTGGGGGTGCAAAGCTCAGGGCCATCACCTGCCCCAGCAGGGATTCTGTTTGCTCTCTGTGCTCCTTCAGAAATCGCTTAAGGGGGCGCATGGAGGAGGACTGGTGTTTGTTCACTGCCAAATAATTTCATTACAAGGATGTTAGAAAATGTAGATTAGAATTGAAAAATATCCCTACATAGAATGATATTGTATGAAAATATTAATTGTGCAGCCAGGCATGGTGGTGCACACCTGTGATCCCAGCTTTCTGGGAGGCTGAGGCAGGAGAATTTCAAGTTCAAGCCCAGCCTGGGGTACTTAGCAAGACTGTCTCAAAATAAAATATGAAAAAGGTCTGGGGATAAAGCTTGGTGTGAAATCACTGGATTCAATACCCAGTATTCCAAAAAAAAAATTAATGAAATATATAATTGTGCTTATGTTTGGGAGGTAAATCTAGAGGTGTTTTTATTTGCTCATTCACAGACTAAATAGAGCAGATTATATTCAAAATATTTCATAGCAGAGCCAAACACAGCAGCTCACACCTGTGTTCCCAGCTCTTCAGAAGGCTGAGGTGGGAGAATCACTTGAGCAAGGAGACTGAGGCCAGCGTGGGTGATATAGTGAGGTCCTGTCTCCCCCACACACATAAAAAATAGATATGCAATTTAGCTGAGTCATAGGGTGTTAATCTAGCAAGTATGAAACCTGAGTTCAATTGCCAGTGCCACAAAAAAGAAACATGATTTCTTAATTTAGTCCAGATTGACCTTGAACTTGAGGGGATCTTCGTGCCTCAGACGCCACAGTGCCAGGTTCCAGGTGTGTGCCAGCACACCTGGCTGTGCAGGTATATTTGGAACATGTCAGCGTTTCTGTGTTACAAGCAGATCAACCAGAAGCAATGTAGAGGCATTCAGTGTGAGATTTCTGAGAAGATTCGAGGCATCTTGTTCATATATAAGATAAAATAAAATATATGTTGTATAATGAGCTTGCCTTTGTGGAGTACAAATGTCATCCCAGTACTTGGGAGGCTGAGGCAAGAGCTCAAGGCCATCCTGGGCTAGAGTGAGTTCAAGGCCAGCCTAGACTACATGACACACTACAGTATTTGGAGAGAGTAAATATTGAATTTATATAAAACTCCAGATACAATGGTTTGTAAATGACAAATTCTAACTTGATTCTGCAAACATAAATTTTTCTCATAATGGGTGAATTAAAAAATGTACTGTACGACCAGGGATTTAGCTCAGTGGTTCTGCCTCCTGCCTCGCAAGCATAAGGTCCTGAGTTTGATCCCCGGTACCAAAAACAAACAAACAAACAAAGATGTACTGTAAAATTTACCCTTTTCAAGTGTACACTTGATTGATTTCTGGCTGATTCATAGACACCCATATAACCATCATCAATATCACCAGAACATGTTGACCACCCCAGAGGGAAACCCAAAACCCATTAGAAATCCCTTCCTGTCCCCTCCCTCCTCGCCCTGGCAACCAAGAAACCGATTTCTGTCTCTCTGGATCAGCCATTCTGGGTATTTTAGGTCACAGGAATCTTACGACACAGAGTCTTTGTGTCTGGTGTCATTCTCTTCCTTTTCTGTTTCCAAGGATCATTGTTGTTGTGACATGTGTCAGTAAATCATTCCTTACTACTGCTGAATAGTATTTCGCTGTATGCTTGTATCACATTTTGGGCATCCTTTCGTCACTTGGATACTGGGTTATTTCTGAATAATGTTACTGTAAACACTGGCATATTTTTTTGAGGACATGTGGGGTTTTTTTGGTACTGGAGATCAAACATGCAGGACCTTTTGCTTGCGAGGCAGGCGCTGATGAGGACATCTGTTCTTAGTTGACTCTATGTTTAACTTATTTTGTTTTTTGAGATAGGATCTGAGTAGTTTACCCAGGCTTTGCAGGGGACTTGTGCTCCTTCTGCCTCACCCTCCTGAGTAGCTGAGAATACAGGGATTTGCCTGCACACCTGTCTTATGTCCTTTTGAACACATGCTGGATTATATTCCAAAAGATCATCTTAAATTTATTTTTTCATTTGTTTGTGGTGCCAGGGGATCCATCCCAGGTCCTCTCATGCCAGGGAAGCACTCTACCACTGAGCTCCATCCTTAGTGCTTTTTTTTTTAAATTTCTTTTTCTTTCTTTCTTTCTTTCTTTTTTTTTTTTTTTTACTTTAAGACAGCTCCTTGCTAAATAGCCCAACCTGGCCTGGAACTTGTGATCCTCCTGCCTCAGCCTCACAGAGTTCTGGAATTACACGCATTTATTTCCATTGGCCCAGGACACAGTTCCAAAAGATTTTTTTTCTAGTTATGAACTTGGACTACGGAATGTCACATTCACCTTATCCTAGAAGATGTTGAATTCTGTTGTGTTTGGTGCTGTTGTCCTGCACAAACCTCCTGGCCTTAAGACATGGTCAGCTTTGCTCAGGAACTGCTGAGGTACTCTGACAGCCAGCATCATCTTGCAGAAACATCCTTACTTACAGTAGAGCTGAAGGATTTTCAGAGCTTGAGCTGCTTGAGAAAGCACAGGGCTCGGAAGAAGAAACATATACCAGCTCCAACATGCCAAGTGGATAGGCCAAGCTAACCGTGTATCATAGTCTTGGACAAAGTGCTTTTAAATGATCAATGTGTTTATGTGCAGAGCTGAGAAGAGCCTGACTCAAAGTTTACAACAGCAAAAGCGGCAGGCATAAAAGAAAGGCAGAAATGGGAAGACTTTCATCTTAGTTTCTTCACCCAGCAGACATCTACAGGCCTGAGTGAAGGACCAGTGTCTCAGCAGAAGCTGCCCTAAGGTCCGTGGGAAGGAACCCAGGAAACTGTCATTACAATCCTCATGTTCACAGTGTTGTCTGCAGCAAAGCTGGTGGGAAACTAATAATTGTTGGCCTGCTGTGTGACCTCCAAAATTAGTGGTTGTAAGCTAAGAGCAAGTGGAATTAGACGGCTTAACTTTTTTTTCTTGGTAACAGTTTCACATTTCATGCAAACATTCTGCTTTTGTGGTTTTATCATGGTCTCAAGATGGGTCTGTTGAAACATGCCATGCTACAAAGGGTAATAGTTTACTGCACCCACGGTCTTATTTTGTCACCCCAGCCTTCTGTGCCATTACTATACCAACACAGTGGTCCCTAACTGTCTCAGTGCCATCCACAGTTTAGGAAAAAATTATTTGTAATACCTGGCTGTCAATTTGAAGAAAATGTAAGATCAAACACCATATATAAAAGTAAATTTTATAGCCCAGAACACCAAAACTGTGATGGAAAATCATTTAATTACATTCTGAATTTAAAACGTTAACAAGTGGCATCCAACTGCTTTGTTTGCTTTTTTTGAGAAAGGATCTCACTCTGTCGTCCAGGTCAGTCTTGAATTCCCTATGTAGCCTTGAACTCCTTATTCTCCTGCCTTGGCCGCCTAAGCGCTGAGTTTACAGAAGTGTGCCATTACATTGAGCTATGTCCAACATTTAAAAAAAGTGTAACATTCAAATAAAAACATGAAATACAAATATTACTAACTATACGTCAAAGATTTTAACACATTGACCAGTGAAAGAACCAATGAGACGCTAAGACATTTCAAATGAGGATTTGACTTGCAGAGATTTGTAGGCTGAAAGTGACATAAGAAATCATTGGGATGGGCATAATAGCAATCCTTTGTTCAGCTGTGGACAGGAAAGGATTGCACTACCATCAATTTTCTGTAAGTTAAAAAAATTTTTCCCCAGAACTGAGGACTGAACCCAGGGCTTTTGCAGAGTGATATCCCCAGCTTTTATTTATTTATTTATATTTTGAGACAAGATCTCATTAAATTGCTAACTTGTAATCCTCCTAGCTCAGCCTCCCAGAATGCTGGGATAAAAGATGTGCACCACCCCAACTACCCTATACCAATTAATTTTTGTGTCTACAGAGTTATAAAATAGCCTAGTCAAAGTAATCAAATACTAAGCCCGGGATGCAGCTCAGTGGCGCCATGCCTGCCTGGCAATGCAAAGTCCTAAGTTTATCCCTGGTATGGAGAAAACAAACGAACAAAACAAAACAAAACAAAACACAAAGTAATCAAATAAGTATATGATCTGGGTTAGGAGTGCAGTTCAGTGGCAGAGAAAGTATGAGGCCCTGGGTTACGCCCCCAGCACTGGAAGAAAAAAGAATGTAGCTAATCCCTGTAGGCTTGCTAGACAATGCTCAATATTCCATTACAAAGATATTCAAGAATCCTTTCAGTTGTTTCTATTAATCATTTTTGTAATTCACAAATGCAAATCGTATATTTTATGGTGCAGAAATGAGTTGATATTCGCATACATTGGGGAATGGCTACATGAAGCTAATGACCATATTCAGAAATTTCTTTCATAGTTTTTCTTGACAAGTTATTTTGTAAAAGTTAAATAAAACTATAGAGGTGAATGCCCATAATCCAGCCTTCTGGAAGGTTGAGGCAGGAGGATCATAAACTGAACTTCAGCCTGGGCAGTTTAGTGACTTAGTAAGTCACATTGTACACTATTGTGGCTTTTGTCTAGATGTCCCCCAAAGCCTCATATGGTCAGAGGTGGCTTCTTCAGAGGTGGCTGGATCTAGAGTGTGATGCTGGGATTAAGGGCGTGTGATTATTAAATTGGTCCACTGATTGGTTTGACACTGCCCTAGTCCCAGTAGCTAGAGTATAAAAGGGGCAGAAAGCTAAGGTCTCTTCCTTGCTTGCTTTTGCTGTCTTCTGCCTGCCAAGAACTGGTTCTCCTCTCCAGTAGCCCTCTGCTGTGTGCCACCCTGCCTTGGAGGCAGCTATGAATTGAAACCTCTACAAATTGAGCTAAATAAACCTTTCCTCCCTTCAACTTTGGGTGTCATGTATTTTGTCTCAGCAATGAGAAAAAGTAACATACACTTTAAAAAGATGTACTTTTTTTGTATAGGCTTTTAAAAGCAGCTGTCAAAATTGTACACGTACTTACCTGGACCCCACTTCTCTGCATACACTCTTACAGATGTGGAGTGAAGCATTGTTCACAGGCCCAAAGAGCTGGACACACAGAGCATCACCAGGAGGTGCATGCAGCTCCAGTCCATTAATAGTCCCAGCCACAGGCTACAAAGCTGGTTATGTGGTGTAAGCACTGACAATGGAAGCTTAAGATAACTGACAAAAGGGAGTAGCCACACAGCATACATCATACATATTAGGCAAGTGCTCTACCACTGAGCTGTATTTTTCTTTGTAATGAACTTGTATATAGATTTTTAGGAAAGGTTTTGAGAGACTACTTTAATCGTTTATGATGTTGATATATTTAAAAATGGTATTTTTTTTTGGTACCAGGAATCAAACTCTGGACCTTGTGCTTGTGAGGCAGGTGCAGTGTCACTGAGCCAAATGCCTGGTCCTAAGCTTTTTAAAAACAAATGTTTTTTCTTTGTGAGGTACTGGGGATTGAACCCAGGGCCTTTGCACTGGCTGACCCATAGCCAAGCACTTTTTATTTTGTATTTTGGACCAGGTCTCACTAAATCACTAATTACCTAGGCTGGGATCAAACTTGTGACCCTCCTGCCTCAGCCCCAAGGGCTGAAACTACAGTGCCCTGCCACCATGCCTAGCTTCCTTTTCATGGACACTATTTACATGTTGAAGGTTTAGCAGTTTAGTCACTTAGCCTCTGATTTAAGGGTACATGTTTTGCTGGGCAGAGATACTGATGTTTTTATCCCATTTGTTTCTGGTACTCTTTTCATTCAGTAGGTGACAAGAGTAACTCAGAGGTTTTAGTGCTTTTTGCATTTCCAACAGCATTTCCATCCTCCCAAAAATGCATCTAAAATTACTGGGATTAAAAGACAACCACCTGCATTTTTGTATTTCTCCCCTCCCCGTACTGGTGTTGACTCCAGGGCCTGGTACATGCTATACAAGTGCTGTACTACTACACTCACAGCTCGTTTTGAGACAAGTTTTGTTAAACTGGCTAGACTGCCCTTGAACTTGTGATCCTGCTACCTCAGCCTCCCAAGCGTGCTAGAATTACAGGTGTACATCATACCTGGCTTGTTTTTCTCTCCCTGCTATACTAGGGATTGAACTCGGGGGTGCTCTACCACTGTACCTAGTCCCTCACTAGTTCTTTGGGACCTCTTGGACAACACAGTGTAATGGGGTCCATATGAATGTCATTTAGAGCAGATGAGTAAATGAATCACATCACAACCCTTCCAGTCAAACCCGAGATCTGGAATGCCAACAGTATGTCTACTCAGAAGCAAACACTACACTTTAATAATAAAAAAATCACAAATATGGAGAAGCATTCATTTTGCCTGACATTAACAATTAAACAGAAGAGCAATTTAAAAATACATGTTAACCAGTGTTTCTCATAACCAGATACTTGTCAGGAGTTACCTGTGGAGGTTTCAAAAATATTTAAACCCAGGCCTCTTTATTTTTTTGGTACCCGGGATCAAACTCAGGACCTTGCACTTTCGAGGCAGGTGGGTGGCGGCACCACTGAACTAAATCCCCGGCCCCAGGCCTCATTTTTGAAGAAGGCTGCAATGGTGGATCAGGACCTGAGTTTTTAATTTTACTCATTTATTTGTAATGGGGTGGAGGACTGAGGCCAGAGCCTTGTGCATGGTGGGCAAGCCCTCTACTACGAGGTACATCTCCAGCCCAGGACCCAAGGATTTTCCAACAACTGTCAGGTAACTCTGCTGTTTCCTTCTGGTTGAGTCACTGATTTTAGGTTGACTGGGGCACTTTGGGTTTTTTTGGCAATTGTTTAGGGGTGTGGGGAGCTTTCCTTGTAGATTTATTAGCAGTAGCGAAGAGCATGGCCTCTGGCTTTTTTGGAGTCTGTCTTAGATCTTTCTTCCCTGGTGAGGGTTTTCTTTGTTTCTTCTTCTGTTCCATTTTTGGCTTCTTTCCTGGACCTGCACCTGGGGTCTCAGGAGTTGACAGGGCCTTTCTCTTCTTGCCCTTAGGTGTGCTGGGACCAGGACTCTTTTTTGGAGACTTCTCTGTGACATGTTTTTGCGTCTAAGAAAAAGAAGAAAATTAAGCCTGGAACAAACAAACCAGAAAACACACACAAAGACCCACATCCCTAACCAACAACAAAGCTGGCACTCTTAACTACAGCAGTTTCTGTTTTTATCACTTATATCCCATAACGTAACCTCACGATGAAGATCCAAGGAATGATCATTTTCTACTATTAAAAGAATGTGAAAAGGACACTGGAGCCCCCCTGGTTCACTGAGGAAAACCACCCCTCCCTACAAGTGAGAGGAATGCCGGAAGCAAGCAGTTTGGGCAGAGCAGGAGACAGTGACCTACGTTGATTCTTTCCCACCTTGGCTATAAATCCTTCGCAGGGGGTTTGGGTAAGGGCACTCAAACTGTGTGTGTAAGGTCCAGCTAGGCGCCTGGTAAAAAACCTATTCCCCACAGCTAGATTCAGAGGCTCGTGGAGGGGAATATGTTATACGCCAGGAATACCGGGTTTCCAACCAGCCCAGGTGACTGCTGGTGAGAATCCAGCGATGAGCTCTGCTGCCTTAGAAGTAGGCTATGACACTCTCATTTTGCTTCCTCTGCAGTAAACAAACATGACACAGCCATACATTGTCATCCTCATGTTTCTGAGACAGGTTCAAATGCTGTGAATGTTTCCGAAGTTCTCCTTATACATGAGCCAGCAAACTACGCTTTTCTCATCTCCTTTTTTTTGTTTGGTACCAGGGATTAAACTTGGGACCTTGCACTTGCAAGGCAGGCGGCAGAACCACTGAGCTAAATCCCCAGCCCTTCTCATCTAATTTCTAACACATACCTGCCAGTTGCATTATAACAAAAGCAGCTTACTTTTTCTAAAAACATTTACATTTTATTATTATGACTGCTTGTTAATTTCAAGTATATCTGAAAACTCAACTGTACTCTGGAAGCTCTTTATAAAAATACTTTCAGGGGCCGGGGATTTAGCTCAGTGGTTTAGCCGCCTCCTGCAGAAGTGCAAGGACTCGAGTTCAATCCCCGGTACCAAAAAAAAAAAAAAAAAAAAATACTTTCACCAGTAGATGAAAATTCTGAGGATTATTGTTACCATGCAACTTGAAACAGGAAGAGTGTACCCACAGCCCTGGGCCCGTTTTGCCCTTGGCCACACCCTGCTACAGGGTCTCATTTTTTATTTTGAGACAAGGCCTTGCTATGTTTCCCAGGCTGGGCTCGAATCTGCAATCCTCCTGCCTCAGGCCCCTGCTCATTAGACAGACATCCTAATTATGAATAGAAACATTTATCAGAGAGCCAAAAGGCAATCATGTTCATTTAAAAGTATCTACTCTGGAATTTACAAGTCAGATTTCTATTAAGAATCATTGCAGGCAAGGGCTGGGGATTTAGCTCAGTGGTTCTGGCACCTGCCTCCCAAGTACAAGGTCCTGAGTTCGATCCCCAGTACCAAAAATTAAAAAATTTTTAAATCATCGCAGGGGGAGGTAACAGAAACTGAGGGGTTTTAGTGACAGGATCCTCCCAAGTGCTGCGATTATAGGCTTGTGCCACCACCATGCCCAGCCCCCCGGTCTGCTTTTTAAGTCTACAGGAAATGTTTGTTCAAATTATAAACACAGTCAAGTCCTCTTTCCTTGATTCCAAGGTGTATTAAAAAGTTGTTTACTATAGTCATAAGCTGCGTAATTACATTTTGGTCAAAGACAAACCACATTTATGAAGTCCAGTAAGATTTTAGTAGAGTTGAGATTCTTACTGCCTATTGATTTTGTAGCTATAACATAGCACAACACATTCACATGTCCGTCGTGATGCTGGTATAAACCTGTGCTGCTGGTTGCACAAAGAATTATGTATAGTAAATGATACTTGATGATGATAAATGACTGTTACTGGTCTGCATATTTACTATACCATGCTTTTTCTTCAGTACTGGGGATTAAACCCAGGGTCTTCGTACTGAACTACATCCCCGTTACCTTGCCTTTTTATTAGTACAGGTTTACAGTACACAATGATGACATTTATCATGGGGAGTTGGTGCATGTGCACATCACATCTTAATGTTTTTTTGCCCCCTATTCTTCCCAGCCCTCCCTGCTACTTCCAAATCTTGTTCTCTTTCCCATTTGAAAAAGATCTACTTCTTTCATTTTGATCTTTACATGCTATATAAGAGAAACCGTGTGATATTTAAGCTCGTGTGTCGGATTTATTTCATTTAATATTATGGTCTCAACGTGCAACCATTTATCCACCCCAGCCATTTTTTATTTTTTTGGGTACGAGGGATTGAACTCGGACCTTGTACTTGTGAGGCAGGTGGCAGAACCACTGAGCTAAATCCCCAGCCCTATGATTCATTTTTCAGGGTGACCCTGCCACGAAGTGACACACGATTACATTCCACTGACATTCACAAGAAAGACAGTTACAGTTAACGATCTCCATGGTTTTTCTAGTTTACTCTAGTATTTTCCACCATTCATCACTTAACAGTGCCTGCCTGGCTCACAGTGGCCACCAAACATTTCTTTGTGAATATTAAATCCTGACCTAAATACCTCAACATTTCCTTTGACTGGAGTCTCACTTATCGGTACCAGTTGTGGAATTTCATCGCCAGACTCCTTCTTCACTTTGACTTTGGTTTTTCCTTTGCCAGTCTTTTTCTTCCAGGAGCCACAGCTCTTCACGGAAGCACCTTTGCTTTTAGATGCTACACCGCCTTTCGTGAGGACCGACGCAGCCTTCTTAGCTTTTTCCTTTAACTTTTTTCTTTCCCTCTTCAACTGCTTTTCACGGTATTTCTCCTCTCTTTTCTTCCTCTTAGCTTCCTAATAAAAAATACCGGACACAATTTTAGCATGGAATACTATTATAGAAAAACAAATGGTAGAGATTTAGCAACAGCAGTTAGTTATTCATAGCTAAAGAGCCTAGACCTGTAGCTCTGTAAAGAAAGAACCCCATTACCACCACTTACACTGCGGACTCTCAGCCAGAGGTGCATTTTATGTAGTAAACTGTATACTGGTATTTCAAAAACTGGCTATCTGTGCTATGTAGATTTTCTTTTTTTCCCATTAACTTTACTGGTACATTTTCAGTATAAAATAGTTACATTCATCATTGGGATCTTGTACCATTACATGAGTTTCTTGGTTCTTTTTTTTCCTCTTCCCTTGCCCTCCCTTCACCCCCCCTTCCCTATTTGCAAAGACTTTGTTTCCATTTTTTTCCTTTTCTCACATTGTTTCTTTTCCCTCTTTTCCTTTCCCCTACCTCTCACAATTGCCCTGCTCCTTTAGACTTTACTTCCTGTTACACAATATCAATTATACATTTTTTAAATTACAATATCAAGATCTAGGAGACATTACCACCAATTTTACAGAATTTAAAAGGATATAGA